AAAAAAAAAAAAAAAAAAAATGTAAAGAGCTCATATATATGTAATTATTTTTGGACTTGAATAGGTACCACTCATTCACACTCTCATGGGCCTCTTCCAGATTTGGTAAAAAACACGGGTCCTACTCATAGATCTCATACACATAGCAATCATTCGTCGCATGCCTGTCACAAGCAGGCTAATGTCGAGCACATTAAGAGAGTTTCATGTAACGACTGTCAGTATTTATTGAACTATTTTTCTTGTTCTTTATTCGAGAATAATTTTCTTTTCTTACGAAAAGGTAACATCTATGAATATGCCGCATTATTTCAGTAAGTTCCGGGGATGGAGATTGTTCGGATTCCGGGAGTAGTCAAGAGGATTCTTGTTCCACGAGTAGTTCTGTGCAAAGAGATTCGAGCAGACATTGCGATTGTTGTTATTGTGAAGTATTTGGCCATGGAGTTGTAAGTAGACTTTATTATTTGGACTTTACACATGACCTGAGGCGTCGCATTACGAACGAGTTTTTTTTTTCCAGCCTTCGGTAGCACCAGTTAGTAGAAATTATAATGAAATGAGAGAACGGTTACGGCAATTATTAACCAAGAAAAAAGCTAGAAAATGTAAAGCCACGTGTAGTCCTTCGAAAAGTCCGTCAGAGTCGGTAGTATCTGATACAAGTACGGAAATGAAGGCAGTGACGAATTCCGCGCCAAGATTGAACACTCCAATTTCAACTATTCCTGCAATACAATCAGATCAACGAGATCAGAGAGATCTGGAAGAACTGCTTGAATTCATCGAGGGTAATCAAAATGGAAAGAAAGATAACAACAAAAAGGCCGAAAAGAAAGCTAGGCAGAAACAACGGAAGGTGAGTATAGATTAAGGTTAACTTTTCGTATATGTGTAAAGTTAATTAAATTTTTGATTATTTATTTGTTACAGTTGGAAGAAAAGCTTAAAAGAGATAGACAAGAGGCTGAAAAGCAGAAACTAATAGAATTGCAAAAAAAGACACCGGAAGTGACGATTACTGTTGTAGATCCTCAGAAACCTGTTCCTCAAAGATTATTACCTCAGTGTAACCTACCCGAAGTATCTATTTTACCTACGTCACCTCCAGTAGCATCATCGACTGTAAAGCAATTAAATAATAAAAAGAAAGACAAGCAAGAAGTCTGTAGCAATAGTAGTAATACTAGTAGCAGTAGCTGTAGCAGCAGTAGTAGTAGTAGTACCAGTAGTATAAATAGCAAAACGAAGACTGCATCTGTGAATACGAATGTAAAGAGTAAAAACGTTAGTAAAGCCGATAAAACAATGGCCTCTAGCCAGACGAATAATAAAACGGCGATCAAAAGTGATAAACATGAAATTAGTAATAAGATTAACAAAGTACAGATAACCAGTAGTAATAGCCCAAGCACGAAAACTAATGCCACGGAGAAATCACTGACCGTCGATTTAGACGATAAAAAATTGACGAAGAAAGAGAGGAAAAAGTTGAAGAAGAAAATGAAAAAAATGGAGGAAGTAAAGGCAAAAGAGGAGACAAAGAAACTGGTTCAGATAGAGACCCAACCTCAGATTGTAACGATTAAAAGAGTCATGGAATCTAACAGCGCAGAACCAACAGTCACGATTACGTTGAAGGGTCAAACACCAGCCGAAGATAAAGTTTTATTCACATTGGTGAATGGTCAGACGAAAGAAGTCGCCAGCTTCAAATTGGAGAACGAACAAAATCAGAATGTCAACGGGAAGAAGAAGAAAACCAAAGCGAATAACAATAACAGTAACAACAATAACACTAATCATAATAACAATAATTTGTTTCAACAGGGGAACAAACAGCAGCAAATGAACAATTCGAAACAACAGATACAGAACAAAATTTGCGACAGCAAGAATAACACAAAACAACAGTCGAACAATGAAAAGAGCAAAGGAAAACAAGTAGATGAGAAAAAGGTTCAACAACAGAGTGTTACTGAAACAAAAACGAAATCCAAAAAAGATAAGAAAAATACGGAGAATAAGGAGAACGTGCTGCAACAGAACGTTGTAAATAAGAGCAAAAATCAATCGCAGAATATAACTGGAAAGAAGCAGAATAAAGTCAATGCTCCATCTCAAACTTCAGTTTCACAAAAGCCAACGCAGAATTTGAATATCAGCAGTGACAACAAGAAGACAAAAATACAGTCGCAAGGCAAAAATGGGCAATTGAGTTCCACCAAAAGCAATAAGAATACACATACTAGTATCACTATTAAACAGATGAAGAACGATAACCAAAAAGTTCAAAATAAAGTAATAAACCAGGCAACTGTCAAGCAGCGACCGGAGATACAGTCGGCATCGACAGAAAGGGTTAACTCGCCTCTTAGCAGTCAATTTAAAGACATTGGCGCGAATTCGAAGATCAACATAGAAAATTTAAAATTACCTCCCGGCATTACGATAACAAAAGTCGACGCTCCTGCGAAACCATTGCCGATAAGATCAGCGCCATTGCCTAAACCAGTAAATCCGCCTAAGCAAACTACGATAATTGCTGCGCCGATGAGCGGCGTTCAGTCGAGTTACGCGAGTTCTCAAGCCGGTGGTAACGTGATCGTGGTTGATACCGGGAAATTGAAGCAAGATCTTTTACCCAAACCCGTGGAAAAAGGTAAGATAAAAACTACTTGATGTCTTTATCTGATATTTTATAATGATATAATTTTATATCTCTGTAGTAATATCATATTTCATCGCAGATATATCTAAAGAAATGCAACAAGGTCAAAGTACTAGCAGCAAAAAGAAGAAAAAGAAAAACAAAAATGCATCGAATTCTGGCAACACATCAAACCAATCAACGGTACAAAATAGTGATCATTTTATAAACGATCATTCAGACGAACCTGCGAGAATACTTCATAATCCGAATACCAACATGGTTACCATAAGAAACCCAGCATTTGGTCCGATGAAGGTACCACCTACCCAACAGGCAGCTATTATAAAAGTATCAGAGAACGGTATGGTCACCATCAGGAGTCCCGCGTTGCAACAAGCGATCAACGCTGGTCTAACGTCGCCACCAAAACCAGATTACATCGTGAAAGGTGATCTGTCGTCGAAAACGTCGACAGAAAATACAAATCTGAAACATGCTAATGGTATCATTCCGTCGAGTTTGGCGGAACTGAGAAGTAGACTGACACCGGACTGCACGACTCTAAGCGGCTTGGCTAACATACAGATCAGCAAAGTGACGAATGGTCAGCCTATACCAGAGAATGGGATCAACTTAAAAGGGACTAGCGTCACATTGACGAAAGTGAGGACGGAGCCTAGCATGGAGGACGTGCAGAATGCAAAGACGGCGGTCCGAGAAGCGATAAACGCCTCGATAGCAGTGTCATCCAACAGCAAGAGCAAGAAAAAGAAAAAGCGTGGAACCGGCGCAAGACAATGCGGAGATGACTGGAACCTCGTTGGTGAGAAACAACAATAATCAGAGTTTAACATGTAAATTTGCTTCTTTCATTTTTTTGTTCTCCTTAACACACCCCCGGGCTGCGTTTCTCGCTCCCGGTATAATTCAAAAAAACTGTTCTTTCTCTCTCTTTTTTTTTTATTCAATTCTTTTTTCGTTTACTTCTATTTTTTTATTTAAAAATGAAT